GGTACTGGGAAGGTTTCAGAAGCAAGGGTGGACGGCGAAAGAGGAAGAGAGGCCAGTGCAGAGCGGTCGAAGAGGGAGGAGGAGAGTCCATGTCAGCGGGTCATGTCACTCAGGCCAAAGAGGGCGGCACTCGGAGGTGGACAGGGGCTTGGTTTTGTCAGCAGTAATGGACAAAACCAAGGGAAGACAGTGGGGTCTGCCTGGTAGTGGGCAATGAGTCTTGTTTGAGGGGATGGCAGGGCCGGGGGAGGTGATAATCTTGGGGTGTGAAGAGTAAGGGGCACACTCTTGCCCGCCCCTGCTTTCTCACGCTCCCCAGTACCCCCCTCCCATTTGCTATCACCACAGTCTAACCCTTAGAAAATGTCCCCATGCCTTCCTTTCCAGATTCCACCTAGCTACAGGCCGAGTCCCCCTCCTCCACAAACACCAGAGACATCTCGAGCTGTCCTGGCCGGGGGATGAGGGGGTGTGGGGTAGGAGTTGGAGAGTAACTGGGCTTTCTTTTGTGTCCCCACAGCACCTAGTACTGTGCTTGGAAGGCAGTGAGAGCTGCCTTGAGAGAGCCTTGATTCAGTGGGCCTCCAACCAGGGCTCTCGGGGCTCGGTGCATACAGACCCCAGGCTGGTGTCACAGGACACGATACGGCTAGAGAGAAGGCACATGCCCTTGTCCGCTGGGGGCAGCTGCCACTCAGCTGGCAGAGCTTATGTCAGATTGTGGAGTTTTCTGAAATAAAACCACAAATCTGGGTTTTTCAAGTGAAATCTTCCATTAGTTTGCCATCCCTGGCCTTCAAGGCAGGGTTCATGTTGCTCCTCAGTGAGCCGATGCCCTATGGGGCCAGGCACCTGAGACACAAGTGCCAGTCTGCAGCTGGCACTTGGTGGCCGGGCCCCGGAGAAAGATTTTAAGCAGGGGAGACAGGATCAGAGTTGGATTTTAAAGAGGAGGGGAAAAAATGAAATCACGGGGCCCAGAGTTTCTGGGGGGCCTGGGGAATCAAATATAGGTGCTGTGGAGCTGGGGGAGAAACCGAGTCCTGTGTAGAAGGGCTCTGGCCTGTTCTTGTCGCACAAGAATATGTGCCCACTGTGGCCAGATTCCATTTTTCAAAAGAAGCCAAAGTTGCCTATTATGAGTGAAATTGCCTAATTTTTAAATGTTGACAAAATTTTAAAAATACACCAGGCAGGCCAACAAAACGAAGTCCCTAAGGGTGTGGGGCACCCGCGGGTCAGACTTTGTTCCTCTGGAGGAGCATTGTGACGCTGGCATGGGAGCTGGCTGCCTGGGTTCAAATGTGGCCCCGCACTTCCTAGCAGTGTGATCTTGGGCGGGGCCTGCACTGTGCCTCAGTTTCCTCAGGTCTAACAGCATCTGCCCCACGAGGTAAACTGTTAGGCTGTAAACGTTGTTATTGCTGTTGTCCTGCAGTGGAGCGGAGGCGAAGGGACAAGATCAACAACTGGATCGTCCAACTTTCAAAAATCATTCCAGACTGTAACGCAGACAATAGCAAGACAGGAGCGGTGAGTGTCCCCTGCCCCCTCTGGCCAGGAGGCCAGCTGACGCTCAATTGCTGCAGTGGGCCAGTCCCCCAACCCCTTCCGAAAAGTCTGACTGATATCGGATACAGAAGTCGTCCTGGGGCAGGCCAGTGGGCAGTGCTCACTCCAATGCTTTTGCTCACCGCCCAGAGTAAAGGAGGGATCCTGTCAAAGGCCTGCGATTACATCCGGGAGCTACGCCAGACCAACCAGCGCATGCAGGAGACGTTCAAGGAGGCTGAGCGGTTGCAGATGGACAATGAGCTCCTGAGGCAACAGGTGGGTGCCAGGGCCTAGAGCTGGGTGGGGAGCCCAGGAACCCCAAGACATAAGGAGCCAGCCTCTGGCTCCCTTGTCCCCTGTCATGTCTGCCAGATCGAGGAGCTGAAGAATGAGAATGCCCTGCTTCGAGCCCAGCTGCAGCAGCACAATTGCCAGGGCCTAGAGCTGGGTGGGGAGCCCAGGAACCCCAAGACATAAGGAGCCAGCCTCTGACTCCCTTGTCCCCTGTCATGTCTGCCAGATCGAGGAGCTGAAGAATGAGAATGCCCTGCTTCGAGCCCAGCTGCAGCAGCACAACCTGGAGATGGTGGGCGAGAGCACCCGGCAGTGACGCCCGCCCCCACTGTGTAGCTGCCGCCGGCCTCTGCTGCCCCCTTCCCCAGCCCTTAGCACAGAGAGGGACACATGCCCCTCCCCCAGCTGCGTTTTTTATAGTAGATTTTTAACAAAAATGGGGAGAAATATTGCATTTCTGTGGACACAGTGCCCACCACCCTCATCAACTTGGAAACGATATCCTCCTTCCCCATCTGTCTGTTTCCCTTCCCCTGGCCCTCATTTAGCCCCCGCACTTCTAGTGGTCTCACCAGGAGGCAAGAGGGAGGAGGACAGAAGCCCTCCCGTGCTCCGCTGCCTCCTTGATCTCTAGAGGTACTGAGACAGGTGCTTATGGGAAGGAGGGGAGCCTTTGGGGGGGGCAACCCCAGGGCCTGGACCTAAGCAGGGAGGCCATGTCCCACCCACCCCTTGTTTGTGGATCCCTGCTCCCCTTTGGGGGGTGTGTGTGTGTGTGTTTTAATTTTCTTTATGGAAAAATGGACAAAAAAAAAAAATAGAGAGAGAGAGGTATTTAACTGCAATAAACTGGCCCCATGTGGCCCCCGCCTTGTCTGTTTGTGTCTGTTCATCTCAGGAGTAGGGATGGGTCCTGGGGTCTGTGCAGAGCTCCATGAGGGCAGGCCTTCGGCTATTGTGTCAGTGGTTATGTGCCAGTCCCTGCCATCCCACACCACCAGGTACCCAGTCTTTTGAGTGAATGGGTGGAGGAGTTAAGGAATGCATATCCTCTTCGAGGCCCTAGGTGTGTGGATGTGAGTTGGGGGGTGGTGGGAACTGGAGTCAAGGACACGTCCATGTTGGAAGAGAGGCTGGGGTCTTCCATGTCAGCAATTCCTGAAAACAGGACTGGCCCCTGGCCCTGCCCTTCTGGGCTGAAGCTGTCCCCTCTGCACCGGCCAATGGTGGGGCCTGGCCTTGAGCCCCCCACCCCCAGGGAGGGCAGATGGCCAGGAAGCTGGGCTTGGCCCGTCAGCCTGTCGCCTTGCACTGTGGCTCTGGCGCCTGTGCTGTGACCCCTGCCCCTGGCTGATGATGAAACCTTGGCCTGAGCTGAGATGCGGCGATCCCTGACAAGGCTGGGGGATGCTGCCGTACTCTGTGTGGGGGAACCTGCAACCACTCACCGGACCCTGCCTCATCTGCAGCCTCTGCTCAGTCCCATCCACTTCCAGGGTCTAGGCCTGCCAGTCTGTCACTTCGCAGAGCTCTCTACCCTGCCCACATCCCAAATGCCCCAACTAGTCTTTTCCTTCTTGTCGGAGGCCACCTTTGAGAGAGGAGCTCACCATGTGGAGTGAACGGGGAGACAGGTGGTGGGGAGCAGTCCTCACTCCCCACGGGCCTGTGCATTTGTGTGGTTTTGAGCAGGCCTTGACAGTGGTTCTGGAGCCAGGAGGCAGTGTTCACTCCTTGACAGTATCATCCCTAGGCTCTGGTGATAGGATTGACACTAGATGGCCCTGAAGTGAGTCAGAGGCAAAGTGGCATAACGACCAAGGGCACATGTCTAGAGTCAAGGTTTGTGGGCCCCTTAGGCTGTGTGCACCCCACGGTGGTCCAGCCAGTGGCAAGGAACAAAGGCACCTACAGTCAGATGGCCTTGGTTTATTCCCCCACTCTCATCCAGTGGTGTTCTGGAGAACCAGCTCCAGAAAAAGGAGAGCCCTTGTTTGCAGTGTCCGCCAATTTCTGTGGTGTAAATACTCCCACCACTGCTTTCAAGGTACCGACACGATCCCACTGAATGTGGAGTTGGGATGAGATGCAAACAGTCTGCTCTGTTGAGCCAGGTCTAGCACACCACTGCCCTGCTGCGTTTGGGGGTCAGGCAGGGAAGCCTGGTGATCATGATCACAGGCCTGGAGTCAGGCTGCCCAGGCTGGAGTCCCAGCTCTGCCTGTGGCTGGGCAAGCTTGGGCAGTGCCCTAATCTCTGCTTTCAGTGTCTTTCCTGCAAAGGGAAGGAAACAAATCTCAGGGGCAGGGGAGACTCTAAGAGGGAGCAAGGTCTAGGAAGCCAGGTCCCTGGGGTTGGGTGGCAGAGAAGGCAGCAATGGCCCCTAAAGAGAGCAGAGCCCAGGATGGAGCAGGCAGGAGCTGCTTAGAGGGCAGTGGCACAGGCTGCTAACCCCAAAGTGAGTCAGTGCCTACGCTGGCATGTGAGATGCATTCATAGATGTTAGCTGTTAACTATTATGCTATCTTTTATGGTCAAACATTCACTTGAACGTTTTCCAGTTACCAGAGCACATCTCAAGGTTCTGACACTTGGAAAACACTACATGCATGTTGGGGGCTCATGCTGACACTCCCCCTGCATCTAATGCACATGTGAAGACAACTAAATAATAGGACACCCCAAACCACACCGGGCACTGCTGAGGACCCCAGTAAGTGATAGCCATGCTCCCTGTGAAAGCAGGCATCAGGGAAAGGGTGGGGAATGAGACAGGTACCTTGCTTCTGTTTACCAACCTGTCCAACTTCTGGGGCAAAACGGGGAATTTTTTCCGAGATCAACAGGGTGATGTCATGTTGGGGAAAGGGTTCCCCAGATGGCTGGCTAGAGGCGTCTGTGGCCCCGTCTGCCCCACCCCCTGGACACACCTCTGCTGGCCGAGGGTGACACAACCGTGTTCCCTGTCACTGTTCCCGCTTATCTCTCTCGCCTTTTCGGCGCCACCACCTTCTTGGAAATGAGTTAGGACAAAGGGGAGGGGGCTCAGACCACCACCTCCCCCACCAGGCCTCATAAAAGCAACCATAACTGGGTCCTGACACCAGAGCAAGTCCTCCACCCAACAACAGGACAGCCAGCCGGACGGCACAATGGCACTGAACACTCAGATCCGGGCTGCCTGCCTCCTACTTCTCCTCCTCGCCAGCCTGACCGGTGGCTCCGTTTTACCGCAGCAGGTGAGAACCCACAGGACCTGCATCCTAGCAGGGCAGCAGGGATTGGAAAGCCAGACCCTTGGGCGGGGGCTGCTAAGAGCAGCTGGAGACCCCCTAGCACTGAGAGAGCTCAAGACAGCTCAGGAGGACTGGCAGCTGCTTAAAAGCACAGGGATGGAGTGGCAGGGACTGGGGGCCCCAATCTAATTACACAGGTACTTAGTGAGACTCTGTCAATTCTCATTCTAGACAGTGGGGAGAAAGCAATGAACAAGGTAGAAGAGAGACAAGATTTTTGCTCTCATGGAGCTTACCTCCTGGTCAGTTAAGGAACAGTTAAAACATAAATAAATGTGTTTAGTAAATGCTATTCATGAATAACATAAGAAGCTGGTAGAGTGCCCATCAGGGCACTGTAGACAGGGTCAGTCCAGAGGGTTTAGTGAGGAAACACTGACCTGTGCTGCGGGGAAGAGACGGGGCAACAAAGACCCTAGGTGAAGGCAGGTGTGGTATACATACGAGGGTGCAGAGTTAGAGGGTGCAGATTTTAACGAGTGCAGAGGGTGCTACTGGAGATGAGATTGACTGTGTGCAGGGTCCAGATCATGCAGTTTCATAAGCAAATGTAGAGATGCTGATTTTTCCTCTGAGTGCAGGAGAACACTGCACCCCTGTAAGTATTTACAATGGGGAAAGTCATCATCTGACAGGCAACAGCTAAAAGTCACTCCACTGTGTGGCGAACAGACTATGAGGGTCCAGATGCTGGGAGACTTGTTAGGAGGTTGGCACCGGCATCCAGGCAAGAGAGGGTGATGTCCCAAAGAAGAGAAGTAGCTGGGGAGAGAGGAGACAGATATGGGATGTTTTTAGGAAAGAGAACTGCCCGTGGGAAGGTGAGAAAAAGCAAGAAAGTAAGGCCCCCTAGGAGTCCTATTGAGCAATGAGTGCCATCCCCTTGGGGAGGAGCAGGTTGGTAGGACATGTCGGAGAGCTCTGCTGGCCTCAACATCCCTTCTGCTTTCACAGACAGGACAGCTTGCAGACCCCCAGCCACAGGACACAGCTGGAGCCAAGGCTGGCTTGACGGTGAGAACGCCTGGGACTCCCTCCCCGGCTGCCCACACCTTCCTTCCCAAGCCCAGGCCCACTCCCTGCTCACTCTCCCTTCCTCCCCACAGCCCATGCTCCAGCGGCTAAGGAGGCGAGACGCCCACTTCCCCATCTGCATTTTCTGCTGTGGCTGCTGTCAGAAATCAAAGTGTGGGTTATGCTGCAAGACATAGAGCCTCCAGTCCTGCCCCCAGACTCCCCTCCCTTCCTTATTTATTCCTGTCGCCCTCCAACACTGGTCTGGGAATAAAGTGACTGAGTCTATATTTTACTTTCCAAAACTGGAGTATGTGTTGCCCTTTTTCCCCGCCCAGGAACTATGCTGGGGGCTTGTTCTGGCCCCTGCCTTGCCAGGGCCAGTGATAGGTGGGACATGTGGTGCGGGCTTGGTGTGTACGGGAGGTTGTCAGGAAGCCTGATGGAGCAAAGTTGTTTTCTATTCTTTCCCTTCTTTCCCCACTTCAAAAGACCTGGAATTTATGTTGCAACAGCAGGGCATGAAAGTTAAATAAAATTTCTTCTCCTCAAATCTTTTTTTTTTTTTTTTTTTTTTTAAAGATGACCAGTAAGGGGTTCTTAAACCTTGACTTGGTGTTGTCAGCAATGCACTCTCCCAAGTGAGCCACGGGCCGGCCCTGCTCAAAGTCTTCTCTGTGACATGTGATAACATTATCGCCCTGATGGCTAATGGACTGTATCTTGTGTATTGGACAGTGCTTATGTATCTTGTGATTTAAATGTTCTCAGTTTCAATTCCTAACACATTGAGCAACTATAAACATAACTCACAAAAACTTAAACAAAAACTCTTTGAGCTCCTCAATAATTTTCAGAGTGTAAAGGGGTCCTGAGACCAAAACGTCTGAGAAGCACTGGCCATCAGGGACCAGACATGTACAGTAAATGGGTGAGGTGTGCTGGATTTGTTTTATGGGAGCATCTTGAGTTGTATTTTCTCAAAAAGGACAAACTTTGCACACAAAGCATATAGGAATACTGTTCACCCCCACAGGGAATTAAGTTCCCTCCCATTCTTCTTAAAAACTGTATCCCTCCCATTCTGATTGCCCCACTTTTGGTAGAAAAAGCGATACAAGATGTATTTCACTAGCTTCTTTGCTCATGAGAAAACACCACCAGCCACGTGATGATAAAGGGCATTGGCCTTTTGGCCTCAGTGTTGAGCATGGATAGGGACTGGGGAGGCCTGGGGGCCATCTGAAGAGGGCTCCAGGAGATGGCTGCCAGGCCCAGAGGCAGTCCAGTCATGGCTAGAGCTTCTGATTTTGTCAAGCTTAGATGGAAATCCTTATTTTTTAGATAAAATTTCCTGATCGTTAAAATATTGGCAGCTGATTAAAGAAATATGTTTTTTAAAACCAACATTCTGTGAGCCAAACTACAGCCAATTGGGAGCCAGGTCAGCCCTGTACACCATCAACTTCTGTCTTCAGCCTTAGAAGCCGGGAGAGGCTTGCGGTCTGGGAGTCTGGGAGGAGAGGTCTCCAGAACAGACACTAAAGGGGAAGAGAGGGGATCGTGGGTGGAGAACTTGGCCTCCTTTCATCTTGTCTGCATCTTCTCCTCTGAAACTCACCTCCTCATCTCTCCTCAGCAAAGGAGAGAAGCGCTTCCATAGTACTTTGTTCATCTGGCTGTTGAGCTCTCCACCAACGAGAGGAGTGTGAAATTGTTTTGGAAACTTTCAAACGCCCCCTAAATGTAAAGGGTTAGATTTTTTTTTTTTCTGCAGCTAGCCGGTGCCAGGAAACCCCCATTTATTTATTATTTTTGGTGGCTGGCCAGTACGGGGATCCAAACCCATGACCTTGGTGTCATAAGGCTGTGCTCTAACCAACTGAGCTAACCAGCCAGCCCAAGGATTAGTATTGACTCGGAGAGTGGAAGCCTCTCTGACCCTCTTGATATAAGTCTGGAAGAAGGGAAATCTGAAATTGCTAATTACATTTAAGGACTCCAGGTGCTCTTCTCCCATTTTATTTATTTATTTATTTTTTGTCTTTTTCCGTGTCTGGCAACGGATCGCAACCCTCAGTGTTGCCCCCGTACCGGACCAGGGACCGGCAACGGGATTGCAACCCTCGGCGCTGCTCCCGCGCCTCCCCCAGCCAG